ATGGAACGTCAGTGAAGGTCTGGGTTTTTCAAGCTCACTTTACCTACAACACAACCATGTTTTCCTTTATTGTGTCCCATAAGGAAATTGTTTTAGTGATCACACCTAGGAAGGAAATTCCCGGTGTGCCCTTTCATTTAGCTGAGGTGAAATATGTTGCAAATCAGTGCCGGTCCTGTGCCTGTTGTGTGCCTGCTGCACTAGGGAAGTGGAGCGAGAGTGGTAAGCCACACCACCCGTGCCCTCGAGGAGCTCCCTGTTGAGTGGGGAAGTTGGGTATTTCTGCATGGCCCAGACCAAGGCCAGTAAAGGCTGGAATGCTGTGGCAAGTGTCATGGGAAATGTCAGCATCTGTTGGGGCTTGAAAAGTACGTAAAGAGAAAGGTAGGAGCATTTTGAGTGACATGAGAAGGTATGAGTATGGTGTCTGTGGAGAATGGCTTTGCTCAGCAAGAGCAAAGAAGTGGCGCCTTTAGAGGAAGAGCAGAAGCCGAGGTTGATGGACAGAATGGATGTTCCTGGTTCTGAGAGGAAGGCCTTGAAAAATGACTCGGTGTTGTCAGCAGTGGTAACCACTGTAATCCCTGGAGCAGAGATGGCCTATGAAGAAAAAAGCTACTTTGAGGGGAATACTCCATTTAAGAAGGAGAAGTTCTAGAGAGGTCTTTAACCCAAGTTTATTTTTTTCACATATTGGATTAAAGTAACATTGGTTTACAACACTAGGTAGGTTTCAGGTGTATGGTATTATAATTCAGCATCCATGTATACTGCATCATAGGTGGCCCTAAAGGACTGGTTTCCACACACCACCATGCAGTTGCCTCCCATTACCCATTTTCCCCACCCCACCGCCAAGTTTAAGTAAGATGAGCTGTGGTGTGACCTGTAGCTATGACTCATGCTTTAGTTCATTGAAGGTTCATTAAACCAACCTCACAGTCATTGGTTCATCATACCAACCTCATAGTCATTTGTCCATGCTTTCATGCCTTGTTCCATAGCTTTCCCCAAGTAGATAATGTATCTGTACGAGGAGCTGGAATTTACATTCATAGCAGTGTTAAGCCTTTGTCTGTAGGAGCTATTTTTCTAGCAGCAGGATGATTTGCACTCATTACTAAAATAAATGTATAGGGTAGAGAACAAAAAAAGAACAAATTGTACTGTTTTATAAATGAATACGGAGTCTGGAAACTTCTCCGAACCTCCAAAACCTTCTCCTTGGGAATTCCTCCAATCCTAAAGTTACACCCATCTGTCAGGACATGTAAACCAGAGTCATTAGATTGTCCCCTTTGTGAGCGCACTGACTTGGTTATGTTCATTTCTGTATGCCCAGCACCAAGAATTGTGTCTGAGACACACTAAACCCTTACCATTTCCTCCTTGGCATAATGTGCCTTTGAATTAATGAATTTTCACCTATTGACATGGATATTATTTGAATAGTCATCTTCATTTTCGGCTTGTCCATTCATATTGAGTTTTAAAAATAACAGCCTTACGGAGATGGAATTCATGTGACATATAGTTCATCATTGTAAAATCTACAATTGAATGCTTTTTAGTACATTCAGAGTTGTGTCACAATCACTGCTAGTTCTAGGACATTTTGAACACTCCCAAACGAAACCCTATGCCCACCAGGAGGCCCTCCACATTTCTTCCTCCCTTAGCTCTGCAGTCCCTAATCTGTCTCTCTATGGATTTGCCCATATTCAGTATTTCACTGAACCAGAATTGTATCATACGTGGTCTTTTGTATCTGGCTTTTTTCAGGGAGCTAAGTGTTTTCAAGATTCATCTATGTTGCAGCAGTATTAGTTGTTCATTTCTTTTTATGGTTGAATAATATCCCATTGTATGGACACACCCCACTTTGTTTATCCATTTATGCCCTGATGAACATTTGATTGGTTTCCACTTCTTTGGCCATTATGAATAGTGCTGCTGTGATTGGTTGTGCACAGATTTTTGGGTAGATCTGTGTCTTCACTTCTCTTAAGTATATGCCTAGGAGTGGAATTGCTGGGTCAGATGGTGATTTTGTGTTGAACTTTTTGAGGAATTATCACACTGTTTTCCAAAGTGCTTGTGCCATTTTCATTCCCACTAGTAATGCTGAAGGGTTCCAATTTCTCTACGTTTTCACCAATTCTTATTATTGCCTGTCTTTTGATTATAGCCATCCTATTGAGTTAATGTTAACTTTTAAATTATAAATGTATGGCATTAATATACTTGTGGAATACAAATGTGAAAGACTTAAATTGTTAATACTTTGCATCAGAAATGCCCCTGTCAGTGTAATATTTTCCTTCTTGCATCTTTAATTTCAAGTAGTGGTGTTTATTTTCTCATCATGCAAATGAAAAAGAGAAATCTGTTATGCTAGATTTTTGGACTTTTCTGATTCAGTGTAATGGTCATAAGAAAACACATACTGGGCCTTGAGAGTGCATGGAAAATTCTAGAAATACGACATTTGACAATGTCTGCAGAAACTGCTGCTGTGCCAGTATGCTACATTTGAAACCACATCTTGTGTGCTCAACTTTTACACAGATCTTGAGAAAATGAAATTGAATTTTATGCCTCTTTAATTTGATTTGAGACCATGACCATGCCATTTCTTTATAATAATTACAAGAATGTATCCAATATATGACTTTCATCTTATAGCAATTACAAGCATTTACCATTTATAAAGCACATAGTTTAGGACACCATAAGTCACATTTCATGCTAATCGTTTCTCTGAAAATAAAGGGTTCTGTTGTACAAATCCAAGAACGATGATGGGGGAAAGAAAATCAATTGATACATTGCATCAAAGAGGAGATCAAAATGAAGTTGTCAAATATATGCCAAAGGCTCTCATAAATTATAAATGGTGAGCTCACCCCAAACTTTATTTTTAGGCGAATAAAAGATCTTGAAGTCTCATTGTAAAAGCTACTTCAAATATGATTTGGTGACAAAATTTTTCCCCAAGGCTTTACTCGTTTCACACGCCAAGGTCTTCCAGGGAAAGCAGGGCTCTATGGGGCCCAAGCCCAAGTTGGTACTTAGGATCTGATCCTTCATTGAAGGACAAGAAGCCCATTTTTTTGTGACTGCTTCCCTTTTCATTCTTTGAATATTAACTGAAGAATTAAAAGTTGTCTTCCTTTCGAAAGTTATATGCAGAACAAAGAAAAGGGATTTTAACAGCTGCATCTTATCATTCTATGGGAAAAACTTCTCATCTGAAAGATACCCCCAGGTCATCTAGATGGTTCTTAGATTTCTCACTCCTTTCATGCTAACAGGTTTGACTTTCCCCCCTCCTTTCTAAGTAATTTCTGCCCCCTCCACCAGATATTGAAAGTAATAGAATAGAAAATAAATATAAAAGCTCAGAAAATAAATGTAAAAACCCATTTGTTCATTTTTTATTTCATTCAACTCATGTTTAGTGATCACCTACTCTACACCATCCACTGTGTGAGGATATATGCACGTGGCCCTGATTTTCTTTATAAGAATTATGTTTATTTTTGTTGATATAATACCTGTATCTCCTAGACTTTGTACTCCCAGACTATTTTATTTACTAAATATCAATCACACGGTGAACATTTGCCAGTCATGAAACATTCTTTGAAAATAATATTTTAATGTCCGCATAGTATTTCTGCCATAATTTACTATTTCCCTGGTGTTGGTCATGTAAGTTATTTTTATATTTTTTGCTATTATGGAATTAGCACAGTTTTGAATATCGTGTCCAAAGGTATATACATTTTCTTGATTTCTGTTATATTAGTCAAACTGCTCTCAGGAAAGCCATTAAGTGCCCACCAGCAGGGTATGAGTGTTTCTCAAATGCAGTTAAAAGGAATTAGAAAATGGCAGCCTCAAGGAAGTGACTTACTAGTTACTTTAGGAGACTTGAACAGCACTTGGGCGGGCTTTCAGTTTGTTAGCATTGTGATTTCAGTCCTAGAATAAGCATCGGCACAGCTGTTTATTTACATAGATTTCTGAATTATCTTTACAAGGCTAACAGTGAGCTGGAGAAGTGGTGTTGACATAACTCAGAGGGGCAATCTGAATCTATACCGATTCTCTATGTCAGTGCCAGAGTTAGGTTCAGTGAATGCTATCTAGATAAACTAAACACAGTTCTTGCCCACATAGAGGTTAAAATCCAGTAGCAGGGATAAGTGTGGAACATTGGAACCTGAACAACCTGGGTTCAAGTTCTGATTCTGCTTCTTCTATTAACAGTGGTGGTGCAAAGTTACATAATGTTTCTGCTCCTCAGTTTCCTCATCTGCAAAACAGGGTTAATAGAGTTGTTGTAAAAAGGAAAACAGGGCCCTCCCTGATGGCTCAAGGGGTTAAGTCTCAGCAACATGAAGCTATCAGCAGCCACCGCAACCTGAGTTCGATCACTGGCCAGGGCGCTGACGCACATGGCACAGCAGACCTCTCCTGCCTCGCCTGCTGCTCCCCTCAGCAGTGTATTTCAGTTAGTCTGCCTGTTCTGCTCCCCACTCTGTCTCTGGTGAATCCTCTCACCCCCAGAACTCTGGCTTACAGCCCAGTTCTTTTATGCATAAATAAATAAAAAATAAATCTTTAAAAAAAGGAAAAGAGATGTGTGTGTTAAGTGCCTACAAGAGTGCCTGGCACATGGCACAGTAGTGTTCAGGAAATGACAGCTACAATTGTTTTGGTAATGGGTTGTCCTATCTTCCAAGGATTTCGTGAGGATTAAATGAAATAATAACTGCAAAACAGAATTACACCAGCACTCAGTGAAGATATGATAATGATGACATGGACAACCCTTTCCGAGAACAAGAATATCTATCAGAAGTGAGTTGAACCGTTCATAAAAGAGCAACAGAGGGGAGGCTCACCTTGTCACAGGGGAGTGAGTCTTGGGGCACAGGTTGCTGAAGACAGTGTTGGCTGCCCAATTCCCATGACACCAAAACAGGAAGATCATCGTTTCTCAGCCTCTGGGCTAAGGTCAAATGTGCTGTTTGTTCTTATCAGGTTAATATCTGATATATCCTCTGTCTGAGGACAATACATTAAATGCACTTTTGGAGCAGGGGATGTGGAATAGAATCTTGCTCCATATACTCCACCATCAACCTGGTATTGCAGTATCTCATGACTGATGCACCCCCCGGGGGAACGACAACATTGAAACAACCCCCCAAAGGAAGATCCGCTGCTGATAGCCACTGCAGGTCTGAACAGCCAGCTTGTTGGTCGCCTCTGCTCTTTGCAGCCCTCTCGTCAGGGCAGGTGGGGTGCCTTTTCTCTCCTTGGAATTGTGAGGGTGTGCTTATCACTGGCCTGGAATTGTCTGCCAAGCCCCAAACATTTTAGGAGTGGTGGGGTTTGTCTCTTGTGCCATCATTAAAGAATGACTATTGTAGTTTGAAATTAGACAGGGCATTCAAGAGCTCTAAGTGTCTGGTAAAAGAAGTCAGCGGATGGGAAATCTGCAGTGGATGTCTCCGAAACGCAATTGATGAACACACATTACCCTTAGTCGCTTTCCTGTTTAAAGAGTGAAAGCTGCTCTATTTCTGTGATGTGTGCTGACTTCTCTCCTCCTGAAACCCAAGCATTCAGTGCCCCTGGGTTTCAAAAGAATGAGGACAAATGAACCGTTCTTCCGAAGTACTAATGCTGCAGGTCCTAGTGAAATAAAACCTTTGCTGAATGGAAAATATTGTCTTCCCGCTTTCAAAAGTTACTTGTTTACCTGTTGCTCATAAAACGCAGAGTAATTTGTGATTGGGAAAGGTATTCTTTGTCTGATGGGTTTCATTTCAGCATAGACTTCCCTGAAGATTGCAAAGCTATTCTATTGCCAGACATTTATAGCGCTCACCCTGAGGAGGAATTCTTGTCTGGTAATACCTTCCTGCCTGTCAATTTCACCTCACCGCTTCAACCTTTGGAACTGATTTAATCAATGGATCAGCACATTCTTCAAAGGGGAAATGCTATTACAGAAAAGCTTTCACAAGGGTTGATGATTCATGCAGACACTATTCAGGACTTTTAATCATATCACATAAAAGAAGCAAATTTGAATGTTGCTTATGCCTAGAGTTTTGATGAAAAGTAAAATATTAAAGAGCGCTTAGGAGATGTCCGTGGCTTGGATTTATGTGTACAGACATTTCTTCTGAGAAAGGAATGTTCTAGAATAAAGATCCACAAAAGCCAAAAATCACACCAGTGGACCAGCCTAATACAAGGGACAGAAATGAGAGATTAGACATGACAGGGAAGCGAAACGTTGCGTCTTGTTCTGGATGGTCGGTAATACCCTGTGGAAGAAGTCCCAGCTTCAGTGACAGTCCGAGGTGTACAGTGCTCAGTTGTGAATGTCTGATCCTCATTTGCTTCATCTGTCAAATGGGATTAGTGATACCTAACCCCTAAGACGTTTGTGGACATTAGAGTAGTAAGGATTTTTTCTCTTTTTATTTTCCTCATAGGACTTACCAATATATGTTCTTTACCTTTTAGAAAATTACTCAGGTCCTCACACTGGAAGCAGAGTGCCCTGGGTTCTGAGGGTGTACCCAGTGGAGCCCAACCAAGGCATGGGGCCTTTTGCAAAAAGAGAAAGGTGCTCCAATACCACGAGAGCTTGGCTGGGTCTGTGCATTGAAGTGGAAACCCCACCAACGCTTCGTGGTTAGCCAACAATTTTTTGAATCCCCTTCTGCTTACTTAACTGCATATTAATCTTGGGCTACTTGCTTAACTTCTCCACTTCAGCTTCATCATTTCAAAAATGAGAATGAAAAGGAGAACAGGGAGGCTTTAATGAGATTTAGGAGGCAAAGCGTAGAGCACCCTATTTGACACGGAGGCACTTGAAAGGGCAGTTGGGAGTAGCTGCTACAACAGCAACAGTACAATTGCTTGTTGAGGGTACAAGTTCTCAGCTATCCTTTTTCTTTAAAGATTTATTTATTTATGTATGCAAGAGCTGGGGTACAGGCCAGGTGTGGGGGGTGAGAGGATTCACCAGAGACAGAGTGGGGAACAGAATAGGCATTGACCGAAGTACACTGCTGAGGGGAGCAGCGGGCAAACCAGGTGTGCTGCGCCATGTGGGTAGCTACCTGGCCGGCCGGTGATTGAACTCATGTGGCGATAGGACTCGTGCTGCAGAGGCTGTGGACAGCTTCATAGGCTGCATCTTAACCCCTTGTGCCACCAGGGAGGCCATTGTCAGCTATTTTGAAGGCTGCTGCAGCCACTTGCTCCACTGGGTTCTCTGAGGGATGCTGCGTTCCTAGTCCCTGGCCTTTTCTGCCTGCCTAGAACCTGCTGATCTCGCACTGACCAAGCTTTTTTACCAAGCCTTTGTAGCCAGGCCATTGAGGCCAGTCAGATTTGAGTTCTAGTCACGGCTCTGTCATTTTTCAGCTATGTGACACTGGGCAACTGAAGTTACTTAACTTCTCAGAGCCTCATTGTTCTCAGTTATAAATGTTAGTAAAACAATTATTTACTGCATTATGTTATTGAGAGAACGAAATAGGACAATCTATGTGAAAGAGTTTCACATAGTTTCACATAGTTCTTCTGAGCGATAGATGTAGAACTTCATTACATGCAGCATTTGGAATTGAGTGCATTTCATGGCATTAAATTATGTGAGTATTGGTGACATGCACACGCCAACCACGTCACCACAGAGGTTCGCTGGCTAAAGAAATGCTCCTTTTAGAGTGAATATGGGTGATGCAGTTTCTTGTAACCGTGACAGACTATGTATTCACGATAGAAAGGACTAGATCCTTGTGACTCAAAGTGTGTCCATTGACCAGCCACATAGGCATCATGTGAGACCTAGTGAGAATTGCAGAGTCCGAGGTCCCACCCCTGTCCTGGTGACTCGGCTGAGATTCCTGGGTGATGGCTTGTAATCCTATAGGTGACTGTAATGTTGTTGACCTGCACATTCTTCATGTCAGTGTGATTTGATTGTTAGAGTGTCCTAGTTTCCTCAGGATGCATGTAATGTGCACTGTCATTTTTCAGGAGAGCAGGGAGCCCTAGAGAAGCTGAGTGTTGTGCTTTGGATCGAATGGCCTGCTTAGTGACAGGGCCTCAGATGCCCAAACCCCCGAATCTACCTTCTGACATTGTTGCCCTAATCTGCTTTCTTTTCTGGCATCTGCCATCCATTTATAGCTCTTTTCCCCTTCAAGTCCAAAACAGCCAGCTTTTAGTGTTACCTTTCTTAGATGTGATAGCAACCGTATCAGGGAAAAATCTAAATGACTGAGTGAATGATGAAAAAGTTTATTTACCAATAGTATTGACTGCTGTTCATGTGTCCTGTATGAATATTCCAGCTTCCCCGGCGCAAATGGTTCCTCCTAAATCTTCCTCCAGATGGTGCCACCTTATGCAGTGGTTTAAAAACCTTTAGTTGTATTAGTTTCATTAATGGGGGAGGAAGGGAGAGGAGTGTCTAGTTTAAAATACAGATTCCTGGGTTCCACATACATGGATTGTGATTCCTGGGTCTGGGAAGCTGCTCGGGATCTGTGCTTTCAACAAGCTCCCAAGTGATTCTAAGGTACGCAAACCACACTTGTAGAAAATTGCTTGGCTTTGGAGTTATACTGCCTGGGTTCGTATTCAGACTGTGCCGAAGCTGGAAGTCTTTGGACATTAGTTTCCTGGGCTTGGGACAGGGAATAACAGTACTTGCCAGTCAACACGAGGTTGTTGTGATGATGATATGAGATAAAGTCAAACCCTCTGCACAGTGTTGAACCCACAGTGAGCACTCAAGAAATGTTACCAATTATTATATTTTTAAAGATTTATTTATTTATGCATACAAGAACTGGGATACTGGGCAGAGGTGTGGGGGTGGTGGTGAAAGGATTCACCAGAGACAGAGTAGGGAGCAGAACAGGCAGATCTACTGAAATACACCACTGAGGGGAGCAGCGGGCAAGACAGGAGAGGTCTGCTGTGCCATGTGGGTCACCTCCCTGGCTGGGGATCGAACTCATGCCACAGTGGCTGGCGATAACTTGATAGCACTGTGTCTTTAACCCCTGCACCACCAGGGAGGCCCCCTGGTATTATTTTTAAATCGAGAGTGTGGTCTTCTGCTTACTAAATGACCGGTATTTAAGGATGATTGTCCCCGTGTTCACAATCATGTATTTTCAAATAAGTCAGTTCACCCTTTAAAGCTTAACAATAACACTCTTTTCCTTGGGCAAGTCTGATCTTCCTCCCCACTGGAATAATTCTTCCTTTTATAGCTCTCCCACTTGTGCCTCCCATAGAAGGTATTTTGTTCTGCACCATATTTTGCATCTCTCTCTCCCCAGCATGCAAGCTCCTTTAGGACAGGGGTGCTGTTGTGGCCGTCCTGCAGCCCCACTCTTACTCAATGCCCGCAGCCACAGAGATGAGCACTGTGTGATACTCAAGGACACATCTGCTGTGCTGACCCCAAGTGCTTGAAGTGAGAGAAGCTTCAACTGACATAGACCAGACCTGTTTACTCTTCACGTCTCAGCAAGTGGGAGGGGACAGAATAAAATTAGATGCTGGGTCCTCTCTGGCTTGTTTCTTCTGCACGGGGATTAAGAGGAAATAGCCACAAGAAGTGGAATTACGAGGAACGCCATGAAGCTACCCCATGGCTATTGTTGTTTTTTAAAACCATAAACAGATGGAGGTCATTTTCTGAAATTGTAACTTAGGTTCTTAGAGGAAGAAGAAACCCATCCCTGCGAATGGGTGCTCAGGGGGCAGGGGAGAACTCAACTTTGTCTTGGTGGGGGGGGGGGTGGGAATTTCTGCTTGAGTGTTCAACAGACAAATAAGAGAGGGCGTTTTCCTTCAGGATGTGAAAGAGGAGACTGGTTGATTTTCTACCTTTCAATGGGCTGCTTGAGCGTTTCTAGACAATGTGTACCTCCAGATCCTACACTTCACAGAATGTGAATGGGGGATGCATTGCAAGTGGCACATCATGAATTCTTGGGCTGCCAATGGTGAAGGCATTTTAGTGATCATGCAGAATAAGAAGCACTGTGCACACACCATTGTTCTTTTACTGATTCTCCAAGCATGTCAGTGATGGTTTCTGTGCCTTGAGTTGTGGATTTCCTGCA